TGTCCCCACGGAGGGAGCGCCCCGGCATCGCCAGGCTTCGAGCCGCCGCTGCCGCCTCTGTCTGTGCTGGCGCTGGTCGGAGTTGTCACCCGGGACTAGGCTGGGCTTTCTCGTCGTATTTCGCGTCTGTCATATTGCCTGGGAAACTTCACCAGCTCGAAACAACTTTGAGTGGAAAAGGAAAAAAGAAGAAGTAATTTCCGTTAATGTTACAGCTGCTGGAAAACACAGTCGACGAGTTCCTCTTATAATTGCAACATCACTCCTTTAGAGGAAGCGAGACCTGGAACATAGGACCGCAGGGAAAGCACTTAATCTCTACTCCTTTTGTGTAATGTGAGGAAAGATTAGGCTTTTCTGTGCCGTAGGACTCTCCATTGGGAGTTTTAATGCCTTTTAAAGTATTCTGAGGCTTTTCAGAAAGATCTTAAGTGCAGATTGCTCCTGCTGTAAGGCTCTAATCCGGTGAATTGAAAATGAATTTTGGTATTTGAGGAGACTGCTGTGCTGGGTTTTTTTGTCATTTTTCGTAGTAAATGCAAATGCAACCGCACCAGTGCTGGTCATGGTTGTCTGAAATTTGGGTGTATTCGCTTGCAACTTGGTGGTTCTGACATTAGTTTCTGAAACTTGTGTGTGCTTTCTTCTATCTTTGCTATAGCTGACCTTATTCGGCGGAATCCTTTGTGTTATGGGTACTCCCGAATCATGTGTAACATCTGCCATGGCTATAGAAATGCATAATGTGGTTAGAGTTTTCGATGGCTATCTTGCTTCCTGCTTGCTTTTCCTCACATATTTTTTTTTAAACTAAGAGACTGAGAGTAATCCTTTTATTTATTTATTTATTTATTTTTCTTTCCTTTTCTCCTTCTAATTCAACAGATGCAGTTTATGTTGCTTTTTAGTCGCCAGGGGAAACTGAGACTCCAGAAGTGGTATGTCCCATTATCTGACAAAGAAAAGAAGAAAATCACAAGGGAACTTGTTCAAACAGTATTAGCCCGCAAACCGAAAATGTGCAGCTTCCTGGAATGGAGAGACCTGAAGATTGTCTACAAAAGGTTGTTCTGTCTCACTAACCTCATAATTGCCTTACATGACAAACAGCGTAATAAGTAGCAAGAAAATAATGAAGGTTGATTTTTGTTGTTTTGGTTTTTGGTTTTGTTTTGTTGGTTTTTTCCTTCCCTCTGCTGGTTATTCAGAACACTGACTTCTCCCTTGAATCTAATTTGATAAGCAAGTAGGAATCATTCATGTGTGGAAAATAACTCATGCGTTTAGAAATGTGCTGAAGAAATGAGGTTTCCTTCTACTTCCAGAAAAGGTGGTGGGTCTTGGTTCTCCGTTGAGATTCACACAGTACATAAATGCATACAAATATGAAGCATGTAAGATTTAATAGATGATAAGGAAAAACTGAATTTTTTATAAGTCAGTGACTTCATAAATCACCTGGAAAATGTAACTTGCTTTTAAAGGCTCATAGAAATAAGGAAATAATTTTTGAGATTACCCAATTTGGGTTTTTGTCAGTTTTTTGGTTTTGTTTGTTTTGGTTTTTTTGTTTGTTTTTTTTGTTTGTTTTGTGTGGGTTTTTTTTATTTTTAATTTTTCCGATGAATACAAAAAGGCATTTCTCCTAATTGAACAAATCATGGCTAGCTTTCTTTTGATGGAAGTAATGTATAATTTTCTTTACAATAGTTTAATTTCTCAGTTGTTCCCTAACTTTTCTAGGAGTATTTGAAAAGCATTTTTTAGCTTTGTGCTGATCTTTAGAATGTATTACAGTTTAGTGGTGTGAACATAATTTTCTCCACAAATAACAGTAATCCTTATCCTGATTTGGTAGGCTGTATGTCTTCCAGCTAAAGCTGGTGCTACAAAACCTTGAGTTACCTCCCCTAGAAGGTTTATGCATTCTTATTTCCCTCTTTGAGATGGTAAATGATTTGTGCCCTACAATAAATATTATATTCTCTCTGTAGGTAAGGCAGAGAGGACTGGAGCTGAAATGAAGAGTTTGTAACTCTTTTCCAGTGTACCAAATGGGTAGAATCAAAAAGGCTTAGATGTTTTAAGTCCTGGTTTCATGTATGTGTTGGTGCATGGAACTTCATGCACATGAATGTCATTCAGTCTATCAATGCATGTTGTTCTTTAACAAGAAGGAGGAAAGAGGAGGAACAGTGCATAAGGCTGTTCTAAAAGCATAAACAGTTTTTATTTTGGCCTCTTGATTTCCTCACAAAACTTCTTGTACATACATGTAGACAAGCTTACTCAAATGCTTTGTGTGCTCCTTTAAGTGCTAATGCCTGCAAGTGCTCCTTTAGCTGGGCTTTTATGGGACTAGATCTGAAAAATTGGGCATGAGTGGGCCAGTCTGTTCCCTTCCCTGCTCAGTCTTGAACAGCAGTAGCTGTTCTGGTGGTGGTTTGATTTCATGCAGCTGCCTTCCCTTCTTGTCTGTTCATTGCGGTTAACAACTACTTGTCATGTCCTTTTGTGTCAAGGGAAGTGGTGAAAATTTGGGAATGATTCTGTTGCTAAAAGTTTTGGCGTTCATGCATCTCAGTAGTGTGCTGTGGATCCTCTGGTCAAGGAGAATGAGGAAATTTGCTGGGAGATGTATCCTAGACCATTTTGGGCTGGATGTAGACTTCAGTCCATCTGCTAGACTGCTTGTGCGCACAGCTGACTGCAGTAGCTTATTTCAGTGTGCAAACCAATCTGGCACAGTTAGTCTATGAAATCTTGTTCAGATTAGCTTGTATCAAGCTAATGAACATTTCCAGTCTTATTTTACTTCTGTTTTTTTGGCGTGTTCTGTTAGGCTAAAACATCATCAGAAAGACTGATTATAAGAGGTGATAGTTTAGATTCTTGTATCTGATAACATGAACAGCTTTTAGATTTGTGGGATTTTTTCCATGCATCAGATGGTCATTAAAGGTGGTGAGTACAAATTAGTATGATTTCTTTGGAAAGGCATCTCAGTTATAACTCAAAAGCAGATAATCCCCAAAGTCTAATACTTTCTGAAGGGTGGGTGGCTAAAAGAGAAACAGCCTGCATGGTTTGTAAAACTGCAAAAGGTGCTCCCAATTGCTCACTGACAAAAGGCTCTTGAGCATCTGCTAAGATCTGTTTTTGTCCTATCTGTTATTGGTAAGGATCTGAGCTTCTGGTGCAAATGTTTTTCAATATAAACTATAAAAGTATGTGCATAGTGCTATTGTAGATGTTGCATGTGCATATTGCTATTAAGAGTCTGGAAGTGCTGAAGTTGATGCGCTGTTCTTGTTTTTAAAGTGTATTTACAGTCAACATGTGAGAGAATTGATCTAGACATGGCAGCTCAGAGAATGGTTGGTATTATTTAGCAGTATACTCAAGGGTTGCATTGATGTACTTATTTGCAAGAACAGAATGAACTTAAATGCAAAACTGGCAAGCCAGTAGCTTTTGCTGCCTTCTGATACTTAGTGTTTATCAAGAGAGCTAGACTGTTTTGATTAGCTTCCTTAGCTCTCTAGCGTATCATCCTTGGTTTGCTTTCTGAATGAAACTTCAAGAAAATAGAACTGTTTTAAAATTCATCTGAATGTGTGCGACTTATTTTCTTTAGTTTCACACATATAGCATTGATAATGGTTGCAAAATAGGGTCAGATGAAGAGGTGCCCTGCTTTTTATGTGGTTCATGAATTAGGATGTATGTACTCTATAGCAGGTTTGGAAGAGTTTTTCAGGCTGGTAGACACCAGAAGAATGGAAAAGGATGTGAGCGTCTAACTTCAAGAGACAGATGGAGATTTGAAGTGACTTGCTGCGTATTAAAGAGAAATTCAAATATGGGAAGCCAACAATTGTACTTTATGATAATATAGAGGGAGACATCTGCAGACAGCTGATTAGAAACTTAGCAAACACAGTTAATGATCACTCTTCATGTTTTGTCCTTTTAAGAGCTAACTGTAGTGGTATTGGTGCATACAGGTTAGAAATTTGTGCAGCTGTCTGCTTGTGGCAGAGAAATGTGTTAAATGCTAAAATCAGTAATTTTACTGAAAAAACGAGCTTAAGATAGGATGTGATTTCCCCCTCCTCCTTCCCCTTTGGAATATGTCAGCTGGTCACTATTTTAGCTTCTGGTGGTATGACTTATTTTCATGGTGTAGTATATTGCAGTCAAAATCAGAGATTGCAGAATAACTGATTTTTATGTACATTTTACTTTGTTAGCATTTAGCTAACATGGGACTTGGTTATTGTTGTTCTGTAATTTGATTAAGGATTTCATATTTGCTTTTATGTGTTTGCAGTGTGAAGTTATAAAACTGTCATAGTTTGTGCTTCCCTTAATGTTTTGGCAGTTGTATTTAATATAACCATAATCATAGGTTATGTTAAAAACTTCTGGAAAAATAAGTTTTAAAACTTTTCAACTGTCCTGTCTTTCTGGCCCCTCCTGGCCCTCCTCTTATCCTTCTTTTCCCTACCCCATTCCCTGCCCCAACAACAAAAGAGACCATTCTTTAAATAGTGTGCCTCTTAAAGTATTGTGAACCTAAGGTGCAGGCCTCTGGCTAGTGGTATGGTATGTGCTCAGCAGTTGAACTGATCGCTTGTCTGTCTTTATGTATGTCTTAGCTGCCAGTTTTATCTGTTTAAAAATGTCACTGTGGTGTTGATTAGGTGACTCTGTAAAACTGAATGCAGTGATTATAGTGAATTAGATACTTGGGTTTGATTATTTTAACTTGATCAGGTCTTCTTTATACAGGATTTCAGTTCATGCATCACTACGAGGACTTTGGTATTGATTACCAGTACCAAGCTTTTGTTCATTTCTAAACCTACTGGAGGGTATAGCCTTGCTGAAATGACAGACTGTAAAAAAGAAAACCAAAAACCAAAACAAAACAACAACAAAAAAAAAAACAAACAAAAAAACCCAAAAAAAAAAACAAACCCCAAACTTAATTTTAGTAGTGGTATTGTTGTTGGTCTCTCTATATCCTTAACAGTGACTGATCTGCCTGTCGTAAATTCTCAGAACTTGTTTTATCAAACAAATACGTAAGATTTTTGGAGGAGAAAAATTATATTTTGCCAATCACAACTTATTAGCAGTCCCAGTTTTCACTGGGTCAACAGCTGTCATCAAACCACAGATTCTTGGGCTCCCTTAAGCACCTGTCTGCCTTTTAAAGGCAGCTTGGTTGTCATTTGCAGTTCATTTCTGCTCCTGTCAAACTCTGTAAGCTTTAAATTTCTGCAGTTAGGATCTATGTGAAAAGTGACTTCAGATGCTGACAGACTTTTGGCTTGCTTGTAGCTTTACCTCGTGACAAACTTCCAGGGCTGGCTTCAAGCAGGAGTTCTCTCTCCTAGTAGGAGAATGCCACTGTACTGGTAGGATTTACAAGTTACGCTCTGGCCACAGTGACCTGATCTTCCAGCAGAGTTACTGAACCTGGTTGCAAGTAGAGCAGTAGCAGGTAACTCTGCTGAAGCTTTGCCTGCCGATTGTGAGGTTTCCTGCTACTGAACTATTGCAACTGTTAAGGGGTAGGTTCATGAATTTGCTTCCTGTTACAAAAGGACTCCCTAAAGTAATCTATGTGAAGGCAGGAGTTTATAAAACTATTTATATGCCTCCTGTGTTTCCTTTTTATTCTTTTACGCCACATTATGTTTTTAGGTGATTTTTTTTTTTTCCCCCAAGCTCTTCTGGGGGTTTCTGTCCCATTTCTGACAAGTGGATGGAGTTTTATTATAGAATATTTCCCTAAATGAATGTAAGCAGCTAAGTTGGGTCTGAAGATGCCTACTAAGAGAGTAAGGGGAAAACAAACCAAAACAAATCCAACCCAAACCAAAATGAGAACAAAAAACCCCTCAAAGCAACCAACCAAAAAAAAAAAGGCCAAACCCCCAAACAAAACACAATATCAAATGGAAGAAAAAAGAGCAGAATGTTTCTTCCAGACTGCGCTACATTTTCTTTTGTGTGATGTGGCATTCTTTACTGTCTGGATTTGCCTTTTCATTGGGTGCATATGAAAGGCAGGTTTACGTCAGGGTCGGGAGGGGAAAATGACACTTCTGCAGAGCAGAAATCTTTTTTCAGCCTGAGTACTGTAATCTACTTGTCTTTGTAGGACACTCTCCATGTAAGCTTCTACACTTGGCAAAACCTCTACTTTATCTGCAGTAGACTAGGTGTAGATACTTTTTTCTGAAGCTCTGGCCTGCAAAGAAAAAGAGATTATATTAAACTATTGCCTTTGAGAATTTGCATCTGAAGAAAGGTATACCGTAGTAGTATGCTCATGCTCTTTGCGGTGATGACTGACTTGTTTATACTCTTCTACTATTTGCCATATAGGCTTATTGAATTTGCATTTATTTTGTTTTGTTGAATAGTGATACATTAGTCACGGTTGCTACTTAGAAAATACTTGGAAAAATATTCTCTGTGTATAATGATGGATACCCACGCCTCCATTTCATGTTAAGATGCCCACTGAGTAGTTTTTGTTTCTTGGTATTCTTTCGCCAAAACTGCAGTTGGCAGAGCTTGAATGTGTAGTCTACTCACTAGCTGCCAAATAAAGTCTTTCAAAAGTATGTTACATTTTCTTTTAAATGAGGATGCTGAGAGCAGACCCCTTCCTGGGAAGGTATTTATGTTAGGTAATCTCTGCCATCCATCCCCTCCCCCCCCCCCCCCCATTCGCTCTGTG